ATATATGCAACGTTTAAAAGCGTTAATGTGGTTGATGTCGCTGTTGGCAGGGAATGTGTCAATAAACCACATTGAAGGAATAAAAACAACCTTCTTCTTCGTCTTATAGTAGTGTTTCTTCTTATGCAACGCAATCAGTACAGCAAGAAAAAAATAAGCAACGAAGCCAAATGTACATCCATCACGACTCACTACAAACTGGCATGAAAACTGACAGTCGTACGTCAACACTTTCTAACAAGCAAGCAGCGAATTTGCAGTTTGACCCCAACATGAATTCTCACATTCCAACACGTGCTACAGTGACGTCAAAAGCAAGCACGCTAGTTTGTAATCTCTAGCGCTAATCTGACTGCAACATAAAGCTAGCAATCCAGTCCTTATTAGTTGATGTTCAGTTCCCCTAACATTTAGGCAACATTAAAGATTCAATTCATAACTATCATGAGACTTGCACTGTTTGTCTTATTGGGTAGTTTAACAGAGTGATCCTCTGAATCAATACTTTAGAAAGGTTATTCAATATTTTTGAGGCCACTAAAAGTTATTACATGGGTTAGATGAGCATTGGCGCATGGGGTAAGTCTTTGCAGTTACCGTATGCTAATTTTTGGAATTTAATTGTACAGTCGACCTCCCATAAGCGACCACATAGGCTTGCCATTTTGGGTGGTCGCTTATGGGAGGTTCGACTGTACAATTAAATTCAAAAAATAACTAATAAAACATCGTATGTTCATCAGAGTTCTCTACTAACTTTTCTTTATGCTAAATGAAATATATAATAATATAATTTTGTACATCCAGGGCTGTCAAATGTTACGTTTTGAGTCACCCATTGCCTTGGTCCCCACACCCGTAAAAACTTGATACTTTGTGGGTGAATTGTACCACGAACAGGCAAGTTCACCCGTAACATCCCGGGGACGACAAGGATACTCAGCCATAACAAGTGTTACAGGTTATGGCCCTTAATGCCAACACTGATATCTGTCTTTTATTATTACATGGAAATTTGTTGTCCTGTAGACATAATGGGTTAGTTTGGACCTAATATTGTTTTTAATTATCTTTAAGTGAAATCAAGTTCATCTAAAGGGCCGCAGAGTCATAGTCCAGCCCTGACACCATCAGGAGAGATAAATGCAAATGAGGCATCAGAGAAAGGGATAAGACCAAGTATTCTAGAAAATTAGAGACTAACAAT